AAAGAAGAATGATAGACCCAAAATACTTAAAAATCAACTAAATTTCTTATGTTAAAAGAGAAAACTCAATTTTCTTACAAATTCATATATATTAATTATAAAGTGTATTCTTTTATAGGATGAATTAGAGAAAACTACGTGAATTACACGTTAGTTTTCAATTAATATTCTTTAATATCCATTAATATTGTATTTAATTCTTATTATATGAATCATTACTTTCTATGTTTAATTAAAAGATAAAAATTACAATGAAAACTGATCAAAAAATCTCTTAAGATCATAACAATACTATAAAGAAAATCATTTCTTTTATTTTTTTTTTCAAGAATTCAATATTTTTATTCTTCCAAATCCATGCAATATGAACTTAATTCATATATGAATGGTAAGAATTAAAGAAAAGATAACAACACAAATATATATTAGTCTTTCCTCACAAAAGAACCACGTTTAGTTGTTTAATCACACTGATTAATTAGCTCACTAATTTTTAAGTATTACAAAGATCTTTAAGACTTTGTTCACTTGAATGGATTTGGGGGAGAGTAATTGGATTTGAGAGGATTTGAAGATAAATTTTTTTGTTGTTTATTTGAGTGAATTTGGAGATAAATGAGAGTCGATTTGGAAGTAAAGTTTATGAGAATTAGTATAGGATTTTATTGACGTGATAGATTAAAAAAATTTACTTCCAAATTCACTCTCATCTCCCTTTAAATTCACTTAAATAAACAACAACAAAATCTATCTTCAAATCCTCTCAAATCACCTCAATTATTCTCTCTCAAATTCATTCAAGTGAACAAGACCTAAAAGAACAAGAAAATATACAACATAACAAAAGATTGAATCTTATAAAAACTTCTATCATCAGTTGTGAAACCTTATCACAAGCTACAAAACATCTTGAATCTTATAAAGATCTCTTACAATACAAAGATAAAAACTACTAAGAAAAGAAAAAAAAAGTTTTATGAACAAGATCATTTGGATAAATTTTAGTGTAAAGATTAAATTATGATCTTGATAAAGTGATTCTTGTATAAAAGTTAAAAAAAAAACTGTATTTAGAAAGCAAAACTCATGCTTAAATGTTTTTCAATACTGTACATTTTATTAATTCGTGATTAAATTCGTATTTAAAAAGAGTAAGTAGCGTAACTTTGTAGATATGATAGTTTTAGTTGGTTGAAACAACTTTAGAAAAAATAAAACAGTTGTACAAAATTCCATAATTTTTCACCAGCAAAATGACATTTTAAGTCAACTTGAAAATGGTCTTTTAATGATTAACTAGATATAACAACCTCAACTTCATTCCTTTGATATTTTAAATGACTTTAGTTTATTAAAACAAAAATTTAACATATCTACTTATGACTTGATAAAAATGTTTTTTCCTTTTTAATTATGAAAGTTTAGGAAAAAGAGCTTTAGACAATAGATAATATGATCAAAAAGCATATTAGATAGATGATAAAAAGCATCTTATGTATAAAATAGATAGATGGTAAAAATCATGTTATGTAGACAGTAAATATTGAGAGTGTAACATAGAAGAGTTGGGTTGTTATAGAAAAAGTTGTAGTTCAAGTTTTGATTTAAACGATATTTTATCCTATGTTTTTTATAATCAGTTTTATCAATATTTTTAATTAGATATCATCTACTGGACTGTTGGTCTAACAAAAACTTAAGCATTATTCTAATTACGGTTTAATCTTTGATCTGAATGGATGAACTGTACTAGTTGTTAACTGTTTGGCTTCCACTGAATACGATAAAGTGTGTATGATTTAATAGTAATAGAAGAAAGCTGATTAAGGGCCATGTAATAATTATGTGTAACCTATGTAGTTTCCATGGTTTCACAGAAAGAAAAAACATTATGAGAAGATTGATTTGCAACGCCATTTCTTTCCTTATCTTTAACAAAAACTTTAAAATCTGTAACAATAATAATAACAGTAATTATTACTGTATATATAAACTCTATAAAATTGACAAACGATTCCTCTTTTTAACTAATTTTTTTAGACAATCTTTCCCGACCTTAATCCTTTAAGTAATTGTTATTTTTAATTAAAGTAATTATTCCTAATAAAAAAATCATCTACACTATAAAAGAATTATTTATAATAAAATTATTTATTTTATAGTTTTTTTATAAAATTTATTTTATAATTTGATAATATTTTATTTCAACAATTATTACCAATAACACTAATAAAGAAAATTTCATTATGATTTTGCACTTTAAATAACTACTATTTTAAAATTAAAACAATTACTCGTTATGAAAAAACCACTCCATTGAAATATTTTATTTTAATAGTATACAACTATTAAAAGAGACTTCACACATCAACAATTAAAAGAACAAATTACTCAAAAAAAATATGTACATAAGACTATTACACTCATCTCATAAAGTAATTATAACATCTTATACACACATATACAATGATTTTATAATACTTAGAGTATTTGTATACTAAGTCAAAATTATAATATTGTTTTATAAAACTGAATAAGACAAAAAAAATCTAATAGTCTAACTCTAAACTTCAACGCTGCTCCCATCATGCTTTGTATCAATTGGAGTAACTTCAACTGCATTAAAGTGATAATTACAAATAAAAAGGAACAAAGAGAGAACAACAAAAAGGAAGGGGTAAGCTAATATATACAAAAAACAATCATATATCATTTTTATATAAGTAAGCATATAATACATATAAATCAGTCAATCCTAAGACATACGATCATTCATTCTAGACTTGACCATTTGAATACATGTATTGATACTAGATTCTATGGTTTCATCACCTGTATGTGGTGGAACAACTCACCCACTCAAGCTACCACACATCAAAGTTAATGCGTCAAACATCTATGACCAAACAACAACCACTAGACTAAGGACCTCCTGCTACACTTTACGACACACCCAACCCTTTTTTACTTTAGACTGGATGGTTATTAAGAGTGTCAGGATAACTCCCCATACAAAGTCTCATCAATACATACATTATTGAAATGCCACCATAAAATCTCTCCAAGAGATTCATGGAATTACGTCAAACACATATATTATACTCACAACTAATAACAAACTCATCATCATCACAATTTGATACTTGAGTAAACACTATACATGTTCACAATCATGTTATTAACCAACCATGGTTTCATCGTTCACATAATTACATACATTAAGCACATCATAAGAGGTGTAGGTAAGCTTAGTTAAAAATTTTATATTTTCACTCAGTCATCAGATATGATAGCAAAACTATTAGTACTTGACAATACACTCCCTCAACTACCAGATATGCTTGCTCAGTGAATAATGCCTGATACCACACTCACTAAATCACCAAAAATGTTCACTAAGCGAGTAGTACCTGACAACACTCTCACTTAACGACTACATTGCTTGCTTAGCGAGAATATCACTAGAACTAACTAATTTAAATCCTTTCAAAAGTCGCACAATGAGTATATTCTCACCCAACGACTATAAAGTCAGTGAACTCTTAGACTTTGACTTCAAACAAACAAGTTTGCATAATTCTGCAAAACAAAGTTCTGTAGATTCTAGTCTTGCAAAACCAGTTTAACACTAACTACAGATGCTTAAAACAACCAAACATCATATTATATATAATTCAATTACTTAAATCACCTTAAATGACATCTCAAATATACAACATATCTCCTATTCAGTATATAATCACCAAAGACAATTCAACCCGCCTAACCTAACTCAACAGGTCATATTTCATCAATCATCTCAATTACACAAATCAACTATCATACAAAAATACAATTAATAATTAAAAGTTGTCTATTAGTTAAAATTAAGGTAATTAGTTTCTCTTACCTTTTAAAAGCTCAAAAACTTTATAGAACTTAAATTGACCTCATCGATCACAAAACTATCTACACTTACAAATCACAAAATAATGATCATAGTATGCGGTTAGGACCACTGATTAACAAAGAGTCTTATAGAAGACTTGGACAACACATGAAAAATACAGTTGGCTTGCATGTACGGGAAATGAATCAGACCAAAGAAAAAAGTAGAAACTAACTTACTATTTTGCATAAACTAATCGGATAAACTGGAAGATCTCGTCTCAATGATGACTTAGGTGGTCTCTGATAACAATGATGAAATCTCTTAGAAAGAAGTCAAATAAATCTAGAAAAGTAGTTTATAGAGATAATATGTTTTAAAATAATGAAATTCCTTCACAACAAAACTTATTTATATTAAAACTTTTTAATTTTAAAATAGTCAAGTTTTACTATTTTTAAACCACGACCACTTTTAAAATACCATTTTATAAGGTTTTACATACCAACAATAAAAGAATTATTTATAATAAAATTATCAAAATTATTTATTATCTTTTTGTAAAAATAAATTTATAATTTAATAATAATTTTTATAATAATAATTTTATATTATTAAAGGTGAATATACTATGTGTTTTCATTAGTTATATAAAAAAATACAAATAAAATATATATTTTATATATTATGTTTTAGTTCTATAATTATAACTATTATTTCTCTCTTACAATGTTCCACAATTATCTCACCATGCATGTTAAAACTCTTTTTCTCCCATTTGTTTTTGCTAACCTTTAAATACTAACATTACATTATATTGATGGAAGAAGTTACATAAAATCGAAATAATTACTTAAAACAAATATATCCTGCCTAACCAGGGCTAATTTATAATCATTATTAAATTATTTCTTCACAATGTTTTGAATTTTCTCTGCATCATTTCATATACTTTTTTTTTGTTCTTTTTCAGTAACTATACTTTGATCCAAACATTCTTAACTATTATAGTTTATGAGTAGTAAATATTATAAAGTATCCCACATGTTATTATAATGTATTATATTCCAAGACAATTTTCTTTTGCATATTCAAAAGCAGAACATGAAACCTTAATATTACAAGCAACAGATACAATTTCTAAGCATTTTACAGTAACAACGGTGGCGGGTATCTCGGATTCAAAACTGGATTATCGGATTCCACAAACCCAACTATATAAAGCACACGGAACTGGGAATAAAACTCAAACCCAAATACTAACACTCTCCAATTGCATCTCCAATTTTGAACTCCATATTACTAACTTCATATTTTGGTACTCTAACTCTTCTTTAATTAGGTCACCATTTTACTATATTTTCAATTTTCCGTTTCTCTTTATTGTTATTATAATATATACTATACTTTTTATTGTGTTTTTTTTTTCAGGAAAATGCCAGACGTTCAAGCCCTTGTTAATGGATTTGTGAATCTGCTCAAGAAGCGGTGAGTTTTTCTTCTCTGGTGATGTTTGAGTTCGATGAATGGTGTAATTGGGATGAGGGTGTTACTTTTGAGGTTTAGGATTTGATTTTGTTTTTTCTTTCTCTGTATGTGTGTTTGATTCGGTGTTAAATTGTTGTTTTTGTAATTTCTAGTTATTGATTTTGTTGTTGTGATGGCAGTAAAATTGAAGGGTCTCAGGCCACAGCGAAGCAGACAGCAGAGTTGCTCCGGTCTGTGATATCACAGCAGCGGGTGCCACACACAAACCAGGCCACATCTCTGATTAATGCAGTAAGGGCTGTGGGGGAGAAGATTATTGATGCTAATCCTATTGGTATATATATCAAGTTTTCATACTTTTTTTATTTTATGACAGAGATATACTTTTTATGGTATCTGGTAGTTTGAATTGGTATTTTTTTAGCATGTGGGTAAGGGTTTGGTCTTGAAGTTCATGTATACGGAAAAACATTTATTGAGAGAGATAAACACCTTAAACGGATATGTACCATTAGGGGGACTAGTCTCTGGTTCTTGGCTGGTACCCTGGGTACCCCAAACACATTTTGTGTGTGCTGCGTTTAATGTTTTTATGACAGTCAAAGAATGTGTATTCTGATTTTTGTGCTTCCTGATTTCCTGGTTAAGCAGTTCTGGTTAAAGGATCCTTCAGTCATTTGGAATTGGGAAACATTAATTGTTTGCATATTGTAACATGTTATATATGGGATTGCAGAGTTATCTGTGGGAAATATCGTGAGGCGGGTTCTTCACATTATAAGGGAGGAGGATCTTTCCCTTGTTACAGATGCTTTGGCTGGTTCTGGAAGTGATGATGAAGATGATGTCGAGCGAGATGATTATCCTGCGTTATCTGCTGCTGCTGTTGCAGCTGCTGCAAGAAGCACCTTGCGTCCACCCTCATTACAAACTCTTCTAGAGGATGTGACCGATTCAGCTGCCGTTCCACCAACTCCTTCCTCGACGGGTGACTCTGATGGGAAAAGTAGATGTGAGGATGACGTGAAACTTGAGTTTTGTTATAACTTTTCGATCTTGTTCGTGATGTATTCTTTCTGCCTTTTGATGAAAAATGTTGATATTTCAAATGCAGAAATTCAAGCTTAAATGCAATAGAAAAGTTACTTTTTCATTTCAACTTTTCTCATGCAAAAATATTATGCTAATACACAAAAGAGGTATTCTTTTAGATAATTATCACCGATAAAGTTAATGCTAAAATGCAATATGTAATTGTTTTTCTTATTTTTATAAAAATATTTGAACACTTCATTGATATTACTTGATAAGTTTTTGGTTGATTGATCCCATTGATTATTGTAAAATATTGGGTCCTAGTTGCTGTGTGGCATTTCATGAAGAAATTGTTGTTTTGGTATTCAACTACGTTTATCTTTTGGTTTTCTGTTATTACAGCTGTTGAAAAGGGTACAAGAGGTCGGAAGTTGAAGCATGATGTCATTGAAGCAGTCAATGAACTTATTCAAGACATAACCTCTTGCCATGAACAAATAGCAGAACAAGCAGTAGAGCATATTCATCAAAAGTTCGTTTCATCCGAAACTACTCACAGACATGTTTATCTCTTGCTACTTTAAAATGCTTGTTTCAGAACATGCCATTATAAGATCCCAAAAAGCAGATTGATCTGAGATTCAAAACTTAAGAGGAAAAACATATTTACATGTCAATCTATTTTTCCAAGACGTAATCTTTTCTTTTATCATCAATGATAAGACAGTTGGTCTTCTTATCACTGGTCATAAATACGCATTGGTAAAGGGTTCCAGCACCCAAGAATTCTCTTTGGTTAAATGAAAGCTTGTCTTGTGAGCTGAGAATTGTTACCATGTCATATAGTGATTAATAACATTACAACTATTTCAAGATGGGTTAAATTCTTAAATCGCAAACTAACTGTTGTGGTGATGTAAGAAGCCAATGCATATATTCAATGCTTGATGCTTTTCTATTAGGACACATGGAGAATAGAAATTAGTTAAGATAGTTAGAATGAGTTACTTGAGGTGTTAGTTAGATATAACTAGGAAAGAAGGAGAGGAGAAGGAGGTGAATTTTTGTAGATTGAGTTTTAGCTCTTTGTGAAGGGGAAACCCTTGAAGGACAAAGTGCTCTCTTATTTTTGTTCTTTTCAGTTATTCAATAAAAAACCTTTCTTTTCTTTCTCTTTTCAATTCTTGGTTCCTAACAAATTGGTCCAACTTGTTGTATATGAAGAAGGGGGAATTATGGAAAGTAAAGTGTGTTCTTTGGAAAGATAGGCCAGCAAGCAAGGAAGAGTGATTGTGGAGATGAACACAGATTTGTCTAGTATTAAAGATACCCTATAGGAACATGAGGGAGATTGAGGAACTTCTTCAAGATATCAAAAAAGGAAAGAAAGAGATCAAAGAACGGTTACAAGAAATCAAGAAACTCTTTGAAGGAGGAGAGTACTTGGTTAATGATGAAGAGAAGAAGGAAGAAAGATATCTACATTAAAAGAGTGGCGTTGGTCATATTTGAAGGGAATGACTCCTCAAGGTTGGTGTCACAAGCAAATCAAACACCATAATATCAATTGCAGGGCTGCAATCTAACATTCAAAATCAGATTCCACAACAAGATCCAAAGGACTTGATTAGAGTTATGGAAATTGCTCTAGATGTGGGAGAACGGTTAGCAATGAAGAATCACACCCTTTTGTAGTGAAGAAAAAACCAAAAGAGAAGTGAGATTTGTACTAGACTAAAGATTATGATGGAGGAAGAAGGGGATGCACCAATAAAGAGAGTGAAGATTATGTGCTGTGAAGGTCATTTTCTTGATAACCCAGTTACATAGTTAACCAATAAGAGAGTTGAAGGTGGAGATGCAGCCAAGCAACATTTTCTCCCAAAATCAGATTTACATAATACGAATAAGAATTCATTGTTGAACTTAAATTTGATAATGATTGGAACATCAATAACATTGGAATTTTGGAATTCCAACTTGGTGGGTTCAAAGTATGTTATACAAAAATCACTCTCATCTACGACACCACCCAAGCCTTCAAACTAAATTTGCAGGCAGTAGCCAGTGTGTTCCCTTCCTATGATATGAAAATATTACAATGCTATCAGGAGGGTAGATAACATGTTGATGAAGATGAGCCATTGTATCAAGCTTCCAAGTTCCAACCTTGAGGACAAGGTTGATTTTTGGAAGAGTGTACGGTTAGGACACATGGAGAAGAGAAATTAGTTAAGATAGTTAGAGTCAGTTACTTGAAGTGTTAGTTAGATATAAATATGAAAGAAGGAGAGAAGAGGAGAAGGAGGTGAATTTTGTAGATTGAGCTTTAGCTCTTTGTGAAAGGGAAACTCTTGAAGGAGAGAATGCTCTCCTATTTTTGTTATTTTCAGTCTAATCAATAAAAAACCTTTCTTTTTGTTCTCTTTTCAATTCTTGGTTCCTAACACTTTGTTTTTGAGTTCTTTTTACGTTGATTGTTATTGGATTGACAATGGCAAGGACTGACACAATGGAAGTTTCCAATTATTTTTGGTTTAATTAAAGTATTAAATGGTAGAGTTTGGCAAGCTACTGTATAGTTAAAACTTCCCTTGTAGTCTGTTTGTACTTTATTTTACCTTTCCTTGGGGACTGCATTATTGGTCTTGGATGTAATAGAATAAATAAAATGATGATTTAATTATTTTATTTTGTGTGGCCAAGGGTGTTGGAATAAAACAAATATTGGGACCCATTCCACTATGAAATGCAGGAGCCATTGTTCCCCATCAACAAAATAATGCACCAAAATGTCTTCCACTTTGCTTGCTTTTCTGTAAATTCAGCTCACCACCTCAACAACCATTTTGTTTGTTTTGGCTTTCTCACTTCTTAAATTTGAGAAGCTAGGCAGCATCACAAGAATAGAGAGAAGGAGAAGAACCACCGAGAATCAAAACCGGTGAAGAGAGAAGCTAACAGAGAAAAGAGAGAAGTGAAGCCACGGTTGTGTGAGAGAAAAAT